TTGTGGTCGACATGATGTAGAACGAATATAATAAAATAAAACCTGCTTTTTCTCAAGAATGTCTTTATTACTGCTGTTAAAAAAAGACCTATAATTTCCTAGAATAAAAAAAAACCTTGAGTCATGTTTGAACTGATACAGGTTTGTCTGTCTTCTAGTCACCCAATTTTTATTTATATATTAGGAAACTAGAGGGTGTTAGCTTTCAAATAATGTATTGCACATGTAATTTGGGCTTACAGTTCCTGAGCTATTTGCTTTTCCATTTGGGTATGCAAAATAGGCGAGGATTACCCAAAATGAGGTGGATGCATTAGAGTGTCTTCAGTCAGAGGCTTCTCCAGATCCAGTGAAGCACAGACCACTATAGAAGATCCTTCCTGCCTACAGCTACGTATTGGTTACTGCAACATTTAATATCCCTTTGAGATTAATAGAGTATCATTGGATTGAAAGGGGCATTACTGTGTTGCCATAGCAACTTATTTCCTTTTCCAGTGGAGGGAAGAGGCCGTCCCGTTCTCATTTATAACCCACACCTTCCATCAAGGCGCCCTCCACAGCTGTGAGTGTGACTTCAGTGGGAGCGGCACTCGATAGTTAGGGGTAGTGCTTAGGGGGGCTGTTCGGGATCAGGTCCAAGTCTTGGTTCTGTGAAACAGGCCCCAGGTTGGTTTTGATGGCTTGAGAACAGCTTTGCATCACCGAGTAATTAGCTGCTGGTTTTACTGCCGTCCTCCAGTCTGTCATCTGGGTGCTTTTTAATTTTAGTAAATTAGAGCAACAAGTCCAAAGAATTGGAAGAGACTGGCTGTCACTTTGGCTTTTACTACTTTAAGACACACAAAGGGAGGAAACTATTTATTCCAAGGAGCCCAAACTGCTCAGTAATGATATTTGATGGAGCGTTTAGGGTTAAAGTGCCAGAGCAAATAATTCCTGCTGGTTTTATAACTGTTCTGATGTACTTATAATAATAACACTCACTTAATTTTAATCTCGTGTCACTTAAGTTCAGCATTTGCATGATCTTTATTCAACATATATTTCCCTTTCTCCGCTAAGATGAAAATTGAGATTGCTCTGCTGTTTGGAGGTCAGGTTTAATGAGCAAATCGTCCTGCCGTCCTCCCCTTATCCGCCTTTCTCCAGACTACCGTAATAGTACCTAATATCCCCCCCTCCCTCCTTTGAATCAATCCCCCTTTTGACTTTTAAATTGCTGTGAACATTACAGGATGAGATCTCCATTTGTTAGCATAATTGTGCTTCATCTTTTGTCCTGTTCCCGATGAATCCCTCCCATTAGTCATCCTCGGAGCGGAGAAGTGTCTTTTATTGAGCTGTTGCATCTCCGGTCTTCGAGAGACGACGTCCTGCAACTTTTTAAGACGTGCCCTTGGTCCAACACACCTAATGATCACCTAATTATTTAATTCAAGTGTGTCGCAGCAGCGGCCCTCATGGACTGGAGCTTCCCTTCCCTGGCGTAGAGGGTCCAGCTTTGAATAAATGTACTGCTGGCCTAGCAGACACATTAAGGGAAGGACCAGAACAGCTTTATTTTAATTAAATTAGCTTTACTACATTTAGTATAATATAATAATCAGATTAAATTTATGTATTCATGTAATTGTTCATGATTTGTCATGAATGTATTAATTTGTTATATGCAGTGATGGGAGTAACGGCGTTACTAACGCCGTTAACTTTTTTTAGTAATGAGTAATCTAACTAATTACTTTGACTAACTATAACGCAGTTCCCATTGCAGACACCCCGTTACTGCACGTTACTCAGGTCGCACAATTAACCTTT